TGGAGTTGTGGGTACTTGGTGGACAGAGGCCAGCATTACAGCTGGGTAGTGCTGTGGGTCATCCGGCCCCAAAACACATGGGCCGGTAGGACAGAGGCCAGCTGCGCTCGGCCCTGATACTAGCTCCGCTGCTGCGATGGCCTACGGGTATTCAGGCCCTGAACAAAGGAAAAGGTGAGGGCAAAGGCCAGCTGCGCTCTGCCCTGATGCCAGCTCTTCCACTGGGATGGGGTCAGTGGGTATTGCCATCTCCTCCACTACCCCCAGGACCCGGTTGGGCAGCTGCTGCTGAGGGGAGGAATCGCCCACCTCCCACCAGTATTACTCTTGTAGTGGGTAAAAGAGGGCTTCTGTCTCCTCTTCCGGTACCTCTGGCTGCCACTGGGGAGGGGGACCAATTATCCCCTATTCCTGTATGGTATGCTGCCGCTGAGGAGTAAGACTGACCTTCATCCCTCCTGATACTTCCAGACCTCGGTCCCATCTCCACCTGCCAGTTGGGGTTTCTCCCAGGACCAGTCTATCAGGTCTCCCAGTAATTGACCTCCTCCATGGCATCCCATAGTAGACCAGGGCCATCATAGTCATAATCCTCTGGACCATCACTCTCATCCATCCAGGGGCACCTATGCACCGAGTACCATCATAGTGCCCGGTATGCCTCATCCAGCCATTGTTCCTTCTTGATCAGCTGCTGGAATTCTATAATTCTTCCCGGGGCAGGGACTCCAGTAAAGGCAGCCTCAGCAGTGTTTGCTTCTGCCTGCGCCATTCTGAACTGGGAAGGTTCTCTCCCCCTTAATAAAGCTAAATAGAAGCTTTGTTTGCCAAAGACGTCCCAATAGTATAGCAAAGGGGCGTAAAAGGCAATACAGAGCCTTTTGGTCTGCTGGTGTTGTCAGCTCCACCAAGGGCTTGGACCCTAATGATTTACAAAATAATGGATATGATCTCCGTCTAGGGAGATCATAAAATGCTGGCAAAAATAATTAATGGACAAATATGAAGCACTAGTACCCAAAATAGTAATAGCGATAACCAGTGGGGTCTTGCAAAGGGGAGGAAAAAAGGAGGAACAGGGTCCAAAGACAACTATACCATTTGTATGGAACAGAGGACCCTTAAATATTCAAAAAAGGCTAGATCAAAAAAGTAAAAATAAGAAAACTTTATTAAATCACAAGAAAAGACTAGCCAGAAGAAGGGAGCCACCCCAAAAATAATGGGGGGAAGGCTCTATTTCCAAATCCCCTTAAAAAACTATAGTAGGTATAGAGCTAGATTAATGGTATGAGCATCCAAAATGGATTGTATAGATGTAGCTCAATACTAATAGCGACAGGATTGATGTGGCTTAAACATTATGATAGAAAATTAGAAGAGCATAAATCCCTATAAAGGAGAAATATAAGGAGACAGAAGCAGAGGAGAGGGGAGGGGAACAGTGCACTCCCTTCCTAATATACTAGGTACATAAAATAACCTCAAAAGCTAAGTCTGTCCCTAAACTCCATGAAACACCTTCGTGGGTGTTCTAATCTGACTGCTCATTCTAAGGAGTAAACGTCCACTGCCTGTTACTACAGTATCCCTACTGGCTATTAGTGATGTCGCGAACCCGAAATTTTCGGTTCGCGAATGGCGAACGCGAACTTCCGCAAATGTTCGCGAACCGGCGAACCGCCCGAAACGCCATTGACTTCAATGGGGAGGCGAATTTTAAAACACACAGGGACTCTTTCTGGCCACAATAGGGATGGAAAAGTTGTTTCAAGGGGACTAACACCTGGACTGTGGCATGCCGGAGGGGGATCCATGGCAAAACTCCCATGGAAAATTACACAGTTGATACAGAGTCTGGTTTTAATCCATAAAGGGCAGAAATCACCTAACATTCCTAAATCACAATCAATATGGATTGACACCTGACATATGACATATTGACACCTTGACATATGGATTGACACCTGTCCTCAGAGCCCCTGATGCACACGGACACAGAGCAGAATAGAGACTGGTCCCCCTACATAGGGTCACTTGGCAAATATGGATTGACACCTGTCCTCAGAGACCATGATACACACTAACACAGAGCAGAATAGGGACTGTTCCCCCTACATCGGGTCACTTGGCAGATATGGATTGACACCTGTCCTAAGGTTCCCTGGTACACACTGACACAGAGCAGAATAGGGACTGGTCCCCCTACATCGGGTCACTTGGCAGATATGGATTGACACCTTGTTACAAACTGCTATTTGTAACGGGCCCTTTAAATGGCAAATTGCCCTGATTCCCTGGGTTGTGGAGAAGCCTACTTGCCAGCCTCCTCCCGCATGACTATGGCCCCTGGAGATTGTGAAAATGTATGCACTTTTATTTGGTGTGTATGGCCCTTTAAGACTGTCGGTGGGCATATTGGGGCTTATGGACTCTTTATGTGACTGGTGCTGGCCCTTTAAACACCTTTTTTGGGACATCAGGAAGATTGGGACACTGCCCCTTTAAGGCCGTGTCCCCAGACTTGTTGGGGACACGGCCCCTTTAAGACGGTGTCCCCTGTGTCCCCAGACCTGGTGCAAACCCTTTGTGCCTGCCTTGCTATTTCCCACTTGGTTCAGTAAATGGGAAATTACTTCAGCTGCAGAGACTAAGTCCCATTCGGCGATGGGACTTAGTCTTTTTTTCAGCCGTTTTTTTCAGCCTTATTTCAGCTGCAGAGACTAAGTCCCATTCGCCATGGGACTTAGTCGTTTTTTCAGCCAGCTGCAGAGACTAAGTCCCATTCGGCGATGGGACTTAGTCTTTTTTTCAGCCGTTTTTTTCAGCCTTATTTCAGCTGCAGAGACTAAGTCCCATTCGGCGATGGGACTTAGTCTTTT